ATTATTGGGAAAGAATATATTGCTTTTACTAGATATAAAAGTGAAATATATCCTATTGGGTGTTAGTGCTTTTGTTTGAAGTGAGATTAATTAATGCAGCATTAATTGCTAATAGCAGTGCAAATTTTAAACAGTAGCTCAAGTTAATGTAGTTACGAACGTGGCCGTAAATGTTGTATCCCAACTGTAGGTGCTACAGAACGATGTCTTAGCCCATCAGTCCACGGTGGAAGCTGTTACGAAAGCAGGAAAGGACTTGATTGAATCAAACGCTGTGGAAAAAGCAGGTAAACTACGGCACAAGTTGAAACTTCTGGATCAGCGCTGGCAAAACGTGCTGAAGAAAACAGAACGGAGGAAACAGCATCTGGACAAGGCCTTGATCCAGGTGAATAGGAAATGGGCAAATAAAGAGATAACTCAGACAAAGGGCCTTTTAGCATGAAATCCCTAGATGTGTGTATTAGAAGTTGGCCTAAATCAAAAGCAAAATGCAGAACACCCATGAATTTAGGGAAGGTTTTGTTCTGGCTGCATCTTTCACAGCTGGCCACTGTCTTTGGTAGTGCTGAACCAAGACTTCAGATTTTGGCATTTTAGAAGACTGGAAGTTCTGTATAGATACATTATTTGGTGAAAACATTGATCTCACAATGAGAAGGCTCATTTAACCTTCTTTCATGAGTTCCATTTTTGTTGTCGTTGTTGTTTTTATCTTTTGTATTGCATGCAACAAGTTTAAATTTTGTTTTGGAATTTCTGTTGATTATTGCAAATACCTGATTGAATCTGTTGGCAGTACGCTTCAGCCTGAGTTAATATTAGAATGGAAAACATTTAAGCAGGCTCTAAAATGCTACAATGTGATTTAGGCCCAAGGTTTCCATGGTGAGGTTGAAGATATGCAGCATTGGCTGACAGACACTGAACGTCCGCTGTTGGCATCAAGACCTGTTGGAGGTTTACCAGAAACAGCAAGGGAGCAGCTCAATGCCCATATGGTAAGTATCAGTGTTAGAACACTCTGCAAATTGCATTTCAGGGCTGACTATCCTCCATGAGTGTTTATGGTAAATACAGAGCATGCTCTATATACTCACAATGCCTGTGCAGTATCTTAAAACATTTTACTGGCCTTCAAACCAGAAACTGTTATTTGCAGTGTTGCAAAAGGAATAGTCTGGGAGAGGACCAAAGCTAAACTGCCGTTAAGACCGAGACAGAAATAAAAGATGTTTTTGCATCCTCGTTCACAGAAAGAAAAAGATCAAGTGTTTACAGTTTCTTCAGAGTGATTAATGTTCTTCTCCCCTCTATCCCTGTAACTACATTTCTGCTTTTTCTGAGGTACAAAGATTAGTCTAAAAATGATCCACAGTCACTTGGAGAAGATCCTGAAATGAAGGAACTGATTCTCTCTGTTCTTAACCAAAGCTGATTTTTTAATCAACAGAGACGTTAGAGGGCTCCTGGGTCATACAGTGAGTGTGATTTAATTAGAAATGGAAAGCTGGTCAGGCTGCCTCAGTTATTCCCTTCTTCCTCTTTAAGAAAAATGCTATGGATTTTTTTCCCCCCGCAGAGAACCATTGCGCTTGACCAAACCCCCTGATTTCCTATCTTACCTCAAAGGAAAGCAGTCCATAGTGCTCCATTTATATACAACCATGCTGTGCTGTTAGGACTGGATACAAGCCCAGGTCCAGTGATCTGAACTCCTGACCCCTGGCTCAGATGCGAGAACCATATTTACTGAACTGTCCTTGGGTTCTGGCTTGCCTGACACAGTTTCCATTAGAACAGCCCGTTGTCATAGATTTGTAATCTTATTTTGGAATGACGCTGAAGGCTTTTACCCAAAAGTGCAGGGGTAGGTTGTGTTTATTTCAAAAGTTACCAGTAACATTCTCTTTGAGAGTAAAAAGCAGAGAACCTTACTTTTTTGGACAAAGAGTTCTTTCTTTCTTGCAATTTTAAAAATAGTTATGTAAAAAAGATGGAAAAAAAA